GTGCACGTTCTTCAAAGGGTCCCATCGCAGCCTCCCATCTCCCGGGCTACTGAGTGTCCTACTGCTCGCTGAGCTGGGGAATGGAAGCCGGGTGGAAGATCAAAGGAGAAGGGTGGCAGCAACTTGGGCCTAAGTCAGGGTCCACAGGCTCTGACCTTGACCTCTAGGTAAGGAGCCGGAAGCCTGACGCCAAATCCCAGCTGTATGACCCCTGTCCCCTTTTTTGGGCCTCAGTCTCCTCATCTGCAGAATGGAAGCCTTGACTTGGTGGTCTCTGAGTGTCCTGGCAGCTGCTTTTGAGCTTCCGCCTTGACTGAGAAAATGAGCCAATTTCCTTAAAGACAGGTCAGCCTGACCTAGTGTCCATTTGACTTCCTCTGGGTGACAGCATTCCCTAGGGGCCAGCTGTGTGCCGGGCACAGTGCTCTTATAACATGAAAGTATAAGAGCAAGTTCTGCAGCATTGGGTTCATTTGGGTGTAAAGGAAGTTTCTGATGACTTTTTCTTGCAGTGTTTGCACAACCAGGAATGAGTCTGTCATAAGCAGGGCAGGAGACCACGGATCAGTTAGAATGTGCCACCGTCTTCCTGGAGCCTTATGGCACAGAAAAGTAAACTGAGTCCCTAAATAAGAAAAGGACCTGCCCAAGGCCACACAGAGAGCTCATTTGAACCCTTGTCAGACTGACTCCCAGCTGGTTTGCTCCTCTGCTGGGTGAGCTGTGCCCACCGCCCAGCACACTTTCTTCCACTGACCCTCCACACCCAGCGCCAGTGCCCCCTCCCCTAGGCAGAGCCCTCACCAACCCCTTGGGACCTCCCAGTCGCTATCTGACCCTCTGGCCCAACCCTGACCCCTAAGGCAGGGTTGTCCCTCCGTGTGTGGCTCTGTCCCCCCCACCCCAGTCTGGGCCTGAGGTTGCTACGGGCTCCAGCATCACCCAGCGTGGAGCTGGGCCTGATGCTCACCACAGAACCCCGGGGGGGGGGAGGTTTGCAGAATGAATCAACGACACAATCCCAAACCCTTCACTGGTTGGAGCCGAGTCTGAGAAATAAGTAAGATGGACACAGACTGGGTTCCTTTCCCTCTGTGAATTCCACCCCGACAAAGCGTGTATGGGTGCACAGGGCCTTGCTGGGGGGCTGAGCCTTGCCCTGGCTCTGCGAGGTCTCCCTCAAGTCATTTCCTTCTTGGGACCTCAGTTTCCCTGCTTGTAAAATGGCCAGGAGGGTCATGGATTGCATCCCTGCAAATGGGGCCTTTGGGCAGGGCTGAAGCAGGATGTGGGGTCAAAGGCCATTTGTGGCGGATGTCACTGCCCTGGGAGGAGAGCAGGCAGGAAGTAGGCAGGCTTGGCCTCCTAGTCTTCTTCTGGACAGAGAGGGCTTGGAATCGAGACTTTGCTGCAGGGTCCATGAGGGTCAGGCTGGCCCAAGAACCATGTTCTCTGGGCTCCTGAAGCATAAGGCACTCTGGGTAAATTGTCTTTCATGGCCTCCTGCCTTTGTTCCCAGGCAGAACTGGCCATCTGCCCTACAGAGCTCAGGCTTCTGCTTTGGACCTCTGGAATTTTGGCTTCAGTGCCCTACCATAAGAAAGCATTGTTTGCCCCCATTTCTCAGATGGGAACACTGAGGGCTCAGAGAGGGGCAGCAATGTGCTCTGAGTCACAGAGCTAGATGATCTGGTATGACTTTTAGCACAAGTCCACCCCAGTGGGCAGCTTTGTGGCAAAAAAAAAAAAAAGCCAGAATGAAAATCCAGCTGGAGGCTAGAGAACTCATCCTGGCCTTGGCCACCCAGCTGGCTGGATGCTTTGAGGAGCCTTCCCTTTTGAACTTGTGTCTGCCTTGGTAGGTTATGCTGTATCAGTCACTCACACCTTAGTGAAAATTAGAGACAGAAAGTTGCTTTTCTCTGAATCCCTAGCTAAGCTGCCTATGGTGAGGGCTGGAAGGGACGGGTGGAAGCTGGCAGCTCAGTGCCAGCACAGGATGGGCGTCTGTGTTTGCCAGGGAAGGAGGAGGAGGGTTTGTGGCAGGGAGCACTGGGGTGGGGCTGTCCTGTGCAGATGTGTCACAGGCCCTTAAGGCAGCCCTGGGACACTGGGGGGTGGGGAAGCCCAAAGAGGAAGTAGGGCAGGGCAGGAAAGAATCCTGAGCTTACTGAGTGCTTACTCTGTGCCAGGTAGCAGACCAAGGGCTCCACCTGGACAGTCACCCCCAGTCTTCCTATGGTGGGGAGGGAGGCACCACTGTCTCCTCCCCATTTCACACATGTGGCCACTGAGTCACAGAGAGGTGAAGGTGTTCATTCCAGGATGCTCAGTGACTGAGCTATGAACTGGGCCGGTCTGAGCTCACAGCCTGCACTTTTACCTGCCAAGCTGGCCTGGCGCCTGGGCCAGGCAGGGCTGGGCACTTGGTGTCACTGCCCAGGGTGTCTGCTGGGGCTTATCTGAGACCTTGATGCTCTTGAGGGCTTGGTGGTTGACCCCAGGGGTGTGGATGAGCTT